ATCATTTCAGTTTTATTACTCTTATTTATTCCTATTATTCTTATTATTTCCTATTTTCTATTTTCTGGTGGAACAGCTATGCCATTCCTCCTCCTACTCCAGGAACTTTACATTTAAAACAATTTTTCTAAGTTTTAAATTGGCTAGCATAGAGTTGTATACCATAAATAAAATTTTTCTTAAAGCCTGGTGTTTGCATTTATATCTCCACTCTACTGTTTTGTTCTGTATTTGATTCATTTATATTTTCTTTCTGTTTCTTACTTGATAGGTCAAACAAGAAGCATGTCAACTGTATTAATCTTAAAAAATGTTTAAGGTTTATTAATCTTCCTAAATTTTGTTCTCCATTTCATTGATTTCTATCCTCATTTGTATTAAAACCTTTTCCTCTTATTTTGAGTTATGCTTTTACTCTTTTTCCTATCTGTTTGTTTCAATAGCTTAGTTCAGTTGTTTTAATCATTTATATTTTCTGATGAATTAATTTAAAAGTAAACATTCTACTGAACACTACTTTAGACGGCTAACAAATTTTGATTTGCAGCTTTTTTATTTTTATTGAATCCTTTGTAGTTCATAATTACTTTTTGAATGATTTTTTAAACTAAAGTATTATTTAGTACATTTTACTTTGTTTCCACATTTATGGGATTGTAGGCTGTTAATTATTAATATTTATATTATTGTCTTATGTTAAGATAACCTTTATACAATATAGTTTGTTTTTATTGAGGCTTCCTATGTGTTCTATGAAAAAGTATATTTTTTTATTAGGCGAAGTGTTCTATATGGGTATCTGAAGGATTAAGCTTATGCCTAATATTTCAAATCCTAATGATCAAATGTATTTTTTTTTTCAACTTGATCTACTAGCTTCTGAAAGGTGGCTGTCCATATTCTTATTAACAGCCAACTATTACTTGTTAACTAATTAATTTTCTCTGTAGTTCTAATAGTTTTTGCTTTTTATGTACTGAGTCTGGGCAGTGAGGTGCGATATGTTAGTCATGGTCATATTTACTTACTTCCTTTTATCTTTATATAATATCCCCCATGAATTCTATTACTGAGATATTAAGATATCATCACAGCTCTCTCCTGGTTGGAGTTTAAACTTTCTGTGCCATTTTCTTTAAAAATGTCACTTTTAGACTATTTAGAGTTGGATCTTATTCTTTAAACTTAACTTTAAAATATTACCCTTTTAACTGATTAATAATCCATTTGTGTTTATTCTAATTACTGTCATATTAGGACATTTCTGGCATTCCACTTTTATTTCTTTTAACTAACTAATTAATTAATTAATTAATTTTCTTGGTTTCCAATGAATAGATCATGTTTTCTTTGCTGCTTTAAGTTATATGCATTGTCCTATATTTCTTCAATTTAAGGCACTTACAACTCAGTTTTTATTTATATGTGACCTTTTTCAAAGTTTCATAATGTCTTAACTCACATATAACGTAAGATGATCACATCTACATTATAGGGTTAGTGTAAATCTGCCACGTATTTTAAAATCTTGGCACAGAGAGAATTTTCGTAATGTTTAATTCTTCAATTCTGGGTATATACTAGCGGCATTAGGTATAGAAAGTATTATATACATTGACAATTTTTAGGGAAGTAATTGTTGCAACGTATGTTACATTTTTAGGAGCAGTATTATTGAGCAATTCTTTTTAACGTGAAATACCTGCTGTGACGTGCTCGCGTTTTCTTCTGTGGTGGGTACACAGGTCGTTTCCTCATCCACAATAGGCTGACCAGTGTCAATTGCACTTCCAAGTCTTTTATAGTATTTCTGACTTCCCTGGGCAGATTTCTTCTTAATGTAAAATTCTTGCTCCTTCTTAGGTGCAGCATGACTTAAAAGAATTTGCTTGCTAGCTGAATATGAAAAATACTATGTTTAAGTTGAAATATATGGAATGCATAGTTATTGCCGACTGTGTTGTTTAGTTATAACCCTCTATAAAATACCCAAAGGAACAGGTCAATTTGTGTTTTTTTAATGAGCTGAAAACCAACATCACAGGCTTCTGGGAAATGTTCTGGTCCTAAAAAAACTATAATAGTATATGACTTGCATAGAGTAATGCATATTCTGAGCAACCAATGATTGCTAAAAGAATATACAACAACTGGATAATTTCTCCTTCACTCAGTGCCACTTGAATGACACAATTAACACCACAAACTTTGACTTCTCTCTTTAATATTATATGTGAGTATATTTTTTAATGCTTAATTTCTACATTCATTATTTTGTAATTAACAGGTAATATAAGTACCATTGGAAGGGATACAAATAGATATGTGCTGGATGTTAATTAACTCATCAAACATGTATTAAGGGAACACAAGAGAATGACACAGGGAAATCCCAATTCCAGCCATGACAGAATAATGACCACGATTTATTTTCACACCATAAAAAAATGACAAAATTGGACAAAACACATAAAGCAACTGCTTCCAGCCATTGGCCAACTGCCAGCCCAGGACTGTGACCCTTGAGAGAAGGGCAACAATCAAGATGATTTCTCCACTTCCCCAGATTTCTGCCTGTGAGCACCTTCTCACCTGTGGCACAGGGAAATAGAGTCTGAACAGTGAACAGCTGTGCTGTCAGGTTCAGGAAGCAAAGACTAGAATTTGAGGCTTCTGAGATAATTAAAATTGTGAGGCAGGGTACCACAGAGGAGGCATCTGAGGAGCAAAGAACTCAGAAACATGCATAGGGATCCACTTGAGTATGTAGCCGAATGCTAAATTTCGTTTGTACAAATACTTAACAATGCCTGGTAAACAATTACTGGAAGATTGTGAGTTTAATGGAGATTCCGAAGGTTGCACAGCGCTGAGAGACATTGGTGAAATGAACAAAACTTAATGAAAACACAGGACATTCAGTTGAAATTCAAACAAGGCTATTCTTTAAGAGTAGAACTACCCTAACCCTAGAGTAATAGAAACTCTAGACCTGACTGAAGAAAGCTTAGAACCAAGTCTTGATAGGATTAAGCTAAACTGTAAATAAATTGTCTGCCAGAACAAAATTCCACATTCTTTTGATGAAGACAGCGTAATCTAGAGTCTTTGTAATGTAGCAGATTTAATGGGCGTCATACTATACAAACAGCACTTGAGAAAAAAAGTCAATATAAATAATCCCATAGCTGACATAGATACTGAGCTTAGCAAAAGGACTTTAAAATAGCTATTAAAAAATGTGTTAAAGATCTGAGGGAAAAGGTTGACATAATGAAAGGACAAATGATGAATATTAACAGGAAACTGAACTATATAAAATGAAATTCTAGATCTGACTGTAAGTGAAATGAGACATTCCTGTATGGACTTAAACATTGTCAAATTTAGAAGAAAAGATTAGTAAACGTGAAAATAATCTAAATGGAAGCAAAGAATACAGAAAAAATTGAACAGAGGCTAAGTGACCCATGGTATGATATTGTAGTGGGTGGAAGAGTGAACCCCCCCTAAAAAAAGAAATATATCTACTCAAAACCTCAGAATGTAACCTTATTTGACACAAGGATGTTTGCAGCTATAATCAGTAAGGATCCCAAGATGAGATCAAACTGGATTAGAGCGGGCCCTCAATCCAGTGGTAAGCATCTTTAAAAGAGAAAAGGAGAAGACACAGATACACAGAAAGAAAGCCATGTGAAGACATGGGCAGACATCGGCAGAGTTATGCTCCTACAAGGCAAGAAACCCTAGGAGCCGCCAATAGCTAGCAGAGACAAGGAAAGATTCTGTTGCAGGGACTTCAAAGGAGATGTGGCCCTGATCAAACCTTGATTTTGGACTTCTGCCCTCCAGAACTGTGAGACAATACATTTTTGTTGTTTCAAGCCCCCCAGTTTGTAGTAATTTGCTAACAGCAGCCCTAGGAAATGCATACAGATATCAAATAATATAATTCATGTGTATTCTTAGTCCTAAAAGGAGCTTCTATAAAAATAAAATAAAATACTTAAGTATAAATTTAATAAACTATTTGTAAAATCTGTACATTGAAGGCATAAAACATTGTTAAGAGAAATTAAAAATATACTGCGTTCATGGACCAGAAAACTGTTTTGGTAAGATGCCAATACACCCCAAGTTTAACACGATGCCAATTAAAATCTAAAGCTATACACCAAGATTTTATACCATGGAATAATACTCAGCATATAAAAAAGGAATAGCAGTAACATAGATGTATCTTATAAAACATTATGTTGAGCTAAAGATACTGGTGCCA